CCCACACTAGACTTACCAAATCAGAATGTCTGGGTGAGAGCCCTGGGCTTTTCTTTACTGGGAGACTTTTTATCCAATCCTGTTAACAGTCATTGGTTTACTCACATTTTGGATTTCTTCATGGTTCAATCTTGGTAGGTTGTATGTGTCTAGGAATTTGTCCATTTCTTCTAGATTTTTCAATTTATTGTCATACAGCTGCTCATAATGGCCACTAAAGATCCTTTGAATTTCTGCAGTATCATTTTGTAATGTCTCTTTTTTATCCTATTTTATTTATTTGGATAATTTCTCTTTTTTCTTAGTCTGGCTAAAGGTTTGTCAATTTTGTTGAACTTTTCAAAAAAACAACTTTTTCTTTTATTGATCTTTTGTATTGTTTTCTTCATTTTAATTTCCCTTATTTCTACTCTGATCTTTATCATTTCCTTTCTTTTACTAATTTTGGGTTCAGTTTGCTCTTGCTTTTCTAGTTCCTTCAGATGCATCATTAGGTTAAGTTTTTCTTCTTCTTTAGTGTACGCATTTATAGGTATAAATTTCCCTCTGAGTACTGCTTTTGCTGTATCCCATAGGTTTTGTGATGTTGTGTTCCCATTATCTTTTCTTTCAAGAAAAGTTTTAATTTCCTTCTTAATTTCTTCTTTGATCCATTGGTCATTCAGGAGCATATTGTTTAATTTCCATAGTTGCCAAAATTTCTCTTGTTATTGATTTAGAAATCAATAGTTTTACTTCACTGTAGTCAAAGAAGATCCTTGATGTTTTTTCAGTTTTTTGAATGTTTTAAGACTTGTTTTGTGACCTAACATATGGTCTTTCCTTGAAAATGATCCAGGTGCTATGAAAAATAATGTATATTCTGCAGCCATTGGATGAAACATATATTTCTGTAAATATATATCAGGTCCATTTACTCTATAGTGCAGCTTAAGTCTGAGTTTGTTAATTTTCTGTCTGGATGATTTGTCCAATACTAAAAGTGGGATGTTGCAGTCTCCACCTCTTATTCTATTGGGATCTATCTCTGTCTTTGGTTGTAATAATATTTACTTTATATATCTGGGTATTCCAGTGTTGGGTGTATATATATTTAAAATCATCATAGATCTTCTTGCTGAACTGATCCCTTTATCGTTATATACGGAAACTCTGTCTCTTCTTAAAGTTTTTGCCTTGAAATCTATTTTTTTCTTATACAAGTACAGCTACTCCTACTCTTTTTGGGTTTCCATTGTCATCAAATATCTTTTTCCATCCCTTTATTTGCAGTCTATGTGTGTCTTGATAGGTGAAGCCTGCATCTTGTAGGCACCAGATCAATGGATCTTGTTTTTTTATTTTTTGAAAATCTATTCAGCCACTCTGTCTTTTGATTGGAGTGTTTAGCCCATTTGCATTCAATGTTATTATTGATAAGGACTTACTGCTGGCATTTTGTTTCTGGTTTTCCTATTTTTTGTTGTCTACTCTTCCTTCTTTTTTTCCTTTCTGTCTTCTTTTTAGCAAAGATGATTTTCCTTGGTGATATGGTTTAGTTTCTTGCTTTTTTGTTTTCTGTGTATACGTTGTGTATGTTTTGCTTTGGAGTTACCATGAGGCTTGTAAATACTATCTTATAACCCTGAGGATTTTTTTTTTTTTGGTGTGGTCTTCTCTTCTTTCTCCTCACTGTCTTCCTTTTAGTGAAGATGATTTTCTATAATGATATGATTTAGTTTCTTGCTTTTTATTTTTTGTGTGTTTGTTGCATGTTTTTCGCTTTGACGTTACCATGAGGCTTTCAAATACAATCTTATAACCCATTATTTTGAGCTGATAACAACACCATTTGCACAAACAAACAAGCATAAAGAAAATTATTAAAGACTTTTCACCTTAACTTCATCTCTTCATTTTCTTTCTTTTTTTTTTTTTGAGACGGAGTTTCGCTCTTGTCACCCAGGCTGGAGTGCAATGGTGCGATCTCGGCTCACCGCAACCTCCGCCTCCTGGGTTCAGGCAATTCTCCCGCCTCAGCCTCCCGAGTTGCTGGGATTACAGGCACGCGCCACCATGCCCAGCTAATTTTTTGTATTTTTAGTAGAGGTGGGGTTTCACCATGTTGACCAGGATGGTCTCGATCTCGACCTCGTGATCCACCTGCCTCGGCCTCCCAAAGTGCTGGGATTACAGGCTTGAGCCACCACGCCCGGCTTCATCTATTCATTTTCTAACTTTTTGTTGTTACTAGTTAGGTCTTATTGTACTATGTCTTGAAAAGTTGTTGTAGTTAGTATTTTTGATTGGTCCATCATTTAGTCTTTCTCCTTTAGGATAAGAGTAGTTTACACACCACAGTTACAGTGTTATATTCTGTGTTTTTTTGTGTACCTTCAGGTGATTATTTATTGCTCAGTAATATCCTTTTCTTTCTGATTGAAGTACTCCCTTTAACACTTCTTGTAGGATGAGTCTGCTATGAAATCCCTCAGCTTTTGTTTGCCTGGGAAAGTCTTTATTTCTCCATGTTTGAAGGATATTTTCGTGTGATTGACTTTTCTAGGGTAAAAGTATCTTTCCTTTTGCATTTTAAATATGCCATGCCACTCTCTCTTGGCCTTTACGGTTGGTTTCCACTGAAAAGTCTGCTTTCAGACACGTTGCAGATTCATGGTCTGTTATTTGTTTCACTGTTTTTAGGATGCTTTCTTTAACCTTGACTTTTGGGAGTTCGATGATTAAATACCTTGGGGTAGTCTTCTTTGGGTTAAATCTGCTTGGCGTTCTATAACCTTTTTGTACTTGAATGTTGATATCTTTCTCTGAGTTTGGCAAGTTCTCTGTTATTATTCCTTTGAATAAATTTTCTACCCCTGTCTCTTTCTCTACCAACTCTTTAAGGCTAATACTCTTAGATTTGCCCTATTGAATCTATTTTTTAGATCCTGCAGGCAGGCTTCATTGTTTTTTATTCCTTTTTCTTTTGTCTCTGACTGTGAATTTTCAAATAGCTTGTCTTGAAGCTCACCAATTCTGTCCTCTGCTTGACCATTTCTGCTATTCAAAGACTTTGAGGCATTCTTCAATATATCAATTGCATTTTTCAACCCCAGAATTTCTGTTTCATTCTTTTAAGTTATTTCAATCTCTTAGAATTCTGAATTCCTTCTCTGTGTTAGCTTGAATTTGAGTTTTCTTAACACAGCTATTTTGAATTCTCTTTGATATCACATTTCTTTAATATTTGAAAGGTCACATACCTCTATTTCTCCAGGATTGGTCCTTGGTGCCTTATTTAGTTCATTTGGTGAGGTCATGCTCTTCTCGATGGTCTTGAGACTTGTGGATGTTTGCCTGTGTTTGGGCATTGAAGAGGTAGGTATTTAGTCTAGTCTTCACAATCTGGGCCTGTTTGTACCCATCCTTCTTGGGAAGACTTTCCAGCTATTAGAAAAGACTTGGGTGCTGTGATCTAAGTTGTATGTGCATTATGGGCACCCAAAGCCCAGTAATCTTGTGGTTCTTGCAGACTTTTAGAGGTATTGCCTTGATGGTCTTGGACAAGATCTGGAAGAATCCTTCGGATTTCCAGGCAGAGACTCTTTTTTCTCTTCTTTCTCTTTCTCCCAAACAAATGTCTTTCTGTTATGAGCCACCTGGAGCTCTGGGTGGAGTGAAACAAGCACCCCTGTGGCCAGCACTATTAAAACGGCACTGTGTCAGACTTGAAGCCAGCATAGCACTGGGCCTCACCCAAGTCTTGGCATAACCACTCTCTGGCTACCACCTATGTTTGCTCAAGACCCTGGAGCTCTATAATCAGCAGGTGGCAAAGTCAGTCAGGCTTATGTCCTTCCCTTCAGGGCAGTGAGCTCCTTCAGGCCTCAAGCAGATCCAGAGATGTCATCCGGGTACCAGATACTGGAGTCAAAAACCTTAGAAATCTACCTGGTACTCTGTTTTACTATGGCTAAGCTGAAACTCAATCCACAAGACACAGTCCTTCCACTCTTCCCTCACTTTTCTAAAGGCAGAGGAGCCTCCACCCTATGGCCACTGCCATCACAGGCTCGCAGAGAGTACTGCCAGGCTACCACTGAGGTTCCCTTAAGAATTCAGGGCTCTTCAGTCAGCTTGTGTTGGATGTTGCCTGGCCTGGGACTCACCATTTGGAGCAGTGGGCTCCCCTCTGCCCTAGGGCAGGTAGAGAAATGTAATCCAAGATTCAATACCTGGAATTGGTGACCATAAGAGTCCTCTTCATGCTCTACCCTGCAAGGTTGAGCTGGTACCTAAGGTGCAAGACCAAGTTCCCTTTACTTTTCCTTCCACTAAAGTAGAAGGAGTCTTGCCCCATAGCCATCACAGCTGGGAATGTGTTGAGTCTTTTCTGAAGCCAGCAAGTCTCAGAGTCCTAAGGCTTTTGACATAGTATCTGGGTATCACTGCTAGTAATTCAGGGACCAAGGGCCCTTCAGTTAGCAGGTAAGGAATCTTGCCACAGCTGGGTCCTTCCCTTCAATGCAGCAGGTTTCCTTCTTGCCCAGGGTGTGTCTAGAAATGTTGTCTGGGAACCGGGGCCTAGAAAGGGGGCCTCACAACTCTGACCAGTGCCCTGTCCCATTATAGCTTAGGTGGTTTCCAAGATGCAAGACGAAGTCCTCCCCACTCTTCCCTCTTCTCTCCTCAAGTGGAAGGAAGACGTCCCTTTTGGAGCTGCCAGCTGTGAAGCCTGAGGTTAGGGGAGGTGTTGCGCCAGGACTCCCTTTGCCACCCTGGTTACTGTCTGTCAGTTGAGTGCCCTCCCCTCCCCAGTCCACTGTCTCAGAGCCCAGTTCAGCACTAGAACTTGCTTAGGAGTTGCAGTCCTTGTGTCCTAGCCTGCCTTTCTTGTTTATTTGCGGCCCCAGAGCACTTTGGCCCAAGGTGGTGTGGCTTGTGGGAACTCAAATTTCAATGCTGGGATGAGCAATTCCCCTCTGGCTAGGGCTAGTTTAAATGCTCCCTCTGTATGTAGGCATCAGCGGAGTTCCTAATTTTGCTTTCTGCTATGACAGGACAGCACTGAGCTCAATGCCTCACTTCAATTGCTGTGCTTTCCCTCTCCCAAGTAGTCAGATTCTCTCTGCCCACCCCTCAGCCTCTGCTAGGGGATGGGGAGGTGGTGTTGGTGATTCCAGACTGTTTTTCTTACCCCTTCAGTGCCTCTTTCAGTGATACGAAGTTAAAACCAGGTACTGTGAGTGCTCATCTGACTTTCTGTTCTTATGAAGCTGCTTTTTTTTTGTGTAGATAGTTGTTTAATTTGTGTCCTTGTGAGGAAGGCAGGGGATGATAGGTGGAGTCTTCTATTATGCCAGCTTACATTGCCTCCCTCTGCATTCTTCTGTCTGGGTGTCTCTGAGGCTCTGTGTTCCAGGGTCTGTGTGTTCACAAATCTGCAAAGGCCTCTTTCCATATGCCCTGTGTTAGTGAGTCCCTGAGTCTGTGCATTTCTGGAAGTTTGCTTTCCATGTCTGTGTCTCTGTCTGTGTTTCTGTATTTATCCTCTTCTCCATCTATCTTCCCCAGCTCTTGTCAATATCTCTGTATTATTGTTTCTTTATGTAACTGTGGCCGTGTCTTAAGTTGTTCTGTGATTCAGTCCCTCTCATTTTCAGTTTCGTGTTTTTTTCTCTGGGTTCTCATGACTGCTGACATTTCGATGAATCTGTTTGTCAGGCTGTCTTTCTGCATCTGTTTCTCTTTCTGTGTCACTCTGCCCTGGTTTTGTTTTGGTCTGGCTCACCTCCTCTGTGTCCCTGCCTCTCTGTTTGTGTCTGGTGTCTGGTTCCATATCTTTTTATCTTTAAGCCACTATCTCTGTGTACTTGGGTCTGATTCCCAGTTCCCATGCCTTCTGTTGTGGCTTTGGTTGTCTATTTGTGTGTGACTTTTTCTGGTGTTGCCGGGTGCATTTTGGTTCTGTGTCTTTGCATCCTTCCTTGCTTCTCTAGATATACTTCTTTGTCACATGTTTCTGCCCATTTGCTAGTATTCTGTCTGTTTCTATGTGTTTAGGTTTCCTTGTCCCTGTTTCTATCTTACCAGACATGTCCCTGTGTTTCCATCTCTGCATCTAGCCTGTGTCTGTATGACGGGATTTCTGGGTTCACATCCCTATGTCTACTTGTTCTGGGTTCTCTGTCTCTGAATTCCCAATGTTCCTGTCACAATGTCCCCATTTCACCTGGGTCTGCACCTTGCCTCTCCTTATGTCTCTGGCCTGAACCTTATTTCTTTTCTTGTAACTGTGCAAAGTGTCTGAGTCTCCATGTCTTTATCTGTGGATCTGTGAACCTATGAGGCTGTGCTCCTGTCTCACTCTTAGTGTATTCCTCTGCCTATGTCCCTATCTTTGTCACCAAGCCTAGGTCTATGCAACGTCTCTGTTTCTATATCTTTATATGTCTCTGGCCCTGTGTTTCTGTGTTCTCTTCCTATTCCCTGCCTCATGTTTGCATATTAGCATGCCAGTGTATCTCTGAGTTTCTACCCTTCTAACCTTGGACTGTGGTCCTGGTCAGTGTCTCCCTGGTTACCTATGTCCCCATGTCTCTGTGTGTTTTGATACCTCTGCTCCTGTGTCTGGATCTCTGTGTTTATCTATCTCTTAGTTTGTATATAGTTATATAGCAGTGTCTTTACATTACTCATTGTGTGTTTGTACCTAAGTGACCTTGATTTTTACTCCTCACCTTTGTGGCAGGGACAGTAACTGAAAACCACAAAGACACAGAGGCCCAGCAAGAGAGCATCTCTTCATTTTTCTCTGAGTTTATGTCCCTGACGCTGCCATTCTGGCTCCCTGCCCCCATCTTTTGATGTCTCTATACTCCTATGTCCATGTTTGTTTTGTGATTCCTGTGTTTCCATAAGTCTGTCCCTCTATTCTCCAACCATATCTCTGTCCTTGCCACTGTTTTTCTGGGTGTGATCCTGTCTTTGGTTGTGAGTGTGTATATATGTGTGTCTACTGCTATGTTATGGGATCCTTTTTTGTTAATTAATTAATTCATTCTTTTAACAAATATTTACTAAGCACCTATTATGTGAGAGGCACTGGGCTACATAGATGATTCAGAAAAGGTCCTTGCCCTCAAAGAGCTCACAGTCTAAGTCAGGTATCGAAGACAAGTAAACAGATGATTACTACACAGTATAAGTGCTGTGAGCTTAGAGGGCGGGGGGCTATAGGAACCCAGAAGACAGGACCAAACTCAATCTAGGGCAGGCATCAGAAAAGGCCTCCTAGAGGAGGTAATAACTAGGACTTGAGGGATGAATTACATTCACCTGCAGGAACAAAGGAAGCATGTCTCATGCGGAAGGAAAAGCACATGCAATGGTGGTCCAGTGGTAGGAGTGAGCGTGGTTTGTTAGGGAAACTCTAAGAGCCTTAAATACATAGGAGTTAGGGAAAGTTGTGAGCAGAACTACTGACTGTTTTTTGTTTTACAAAAGTGACTTGTAAAGCTGATGTGGATCTTGGATTCGGAGGGAGTGAGACTGGACACATGACGGACCATGAAGATGCAGGGGTTTCTGACTCTAGGCCTCTGCATGTCTGTGTGTTTGTATACCCTTATATATGTGTTCCTTAGAACATGCGGGAGTCTGTGTATCCCTGTATGTGCTTCCATATCCTTGGGTCTCTGTGTCTGGCTCACCCCATGCCCTGGTTTCTGGATCTCCCAAATTCAGGTCTCCCGGCTCTGCCATTACAGGACATAGGAGAGGTAGGGGTGACCCAGAAGCTGCTCTACATGAGAGCGCTTCACCAGCCAGCAGGAAGCCCAGCGGGGCAGCAGCCTTGGTGAGTCCTTCAGCAGCCTCTTGCCTAGAATCACAGGCACATCAGGGCCCTGGTGCCTTCGTAAGTGTGGCCCCATAGGTCCTGTCACCAGTCGGATGTCTGCGTGCTGGAACTGCCCTGAGGGAGAGAGATGCAATGCTAGTCAGGTCAGTGGCCTGAGTCCCTGCTCAGAGATCTGTAAGGAACTTAGAGCAGGAAATCCAGAGGGATTTAAAGGAGGAGGAAGGAGGTGCAGCAAAGGACCAGAGGAGGAAGAGGTTGGGCATTGTGGGAACTGTGCAGGAGCCAGATGGGACTGGAGGGTAATATGGAAGTAGGGAGCCAAAGTGGATGGATGAAATGGCAGAGAAAGGGGGATAGCCAGGCTTGGAGGAGAAGACAGGGAAGATTAGGAAGAAGGAGACAAAAGGACGTAAAAATATCTGTTCAACCCACCATCAGTGCTCAAACTCTTTGGCGTGAGCCTCTGCCTCAGGTTCTGCCAGTGTCTCCTGACCTACAGCCTGGCTTCCTGCAACCTACCTTCATAGCAGTCTCCAGAGGGATCTTTGTAACACCCAGATATGACTGTGTCTCTCCTTTGCTTATAACCCTTCATGACTTCTCATTGCTTTCAGGATAAAGCCAAATTCTTCATCCTGGCATTCAACTCTGACCATTCAGCTCTGTTTCCTCCAACTTCTTCTGTTCCTTTTCTCCATACCCTTGTTTAGCCTTTTAGACTCAGCATGGGTGTGTCTACCTCCTCCAGGAGGTCTTTCTCAAGCTCTGAGACTGGGCAAGTTCCCCCACTCTGGTTTTCTGTAGCTCCCTGGGCAGCTTTCTGTCTAGCAATGGTCCCTTCTTGTGTTCACTATCCCTATCTGGGTCCGTCCTCTCCCAAGATGAAGGGCTCCTTAAGGGAAGAGCCTGTATCTCATTCCTTTTCCTGGTTGGGGGCATGGGTGCCTTTCACCCTGGCAGGGTCTTTTTGGGGGCTGGTGCCCCCTGGCCCCTCTCAGCCTCAGCTGGACTTACCCATCAGGCCACGGGCTGAGGGGCTGAGGCCCAAGCCATTGGCCACGTAGAACCCCAGATGGGGTAGTTGCAGGGTACTCGGATGTCTGTAGCGGTGCCGGAGGACCAGGAACTCAAGGTAGGGCCCAAGGCGGATGGTAAGGCGGGCTGCAGCAGCCACATAGAGCTCCAGCTGGGGCCTCTTCAGCATGGCAGGTCGGTCCCAGGACAGGCGCAAGGTACTCTCGCCTCGCAAAGATATAGAACTGCGGCTGATGGTGATAGTGGAGGCCCTGGGTGTGTCTGTAGTGACTGTGATGATCTGGAAGTAGGTGCGAGTCTGGTCCTCGTGGCCCGGCCTTGGTGGTGCACCAAGCAGCTTCCCACTCACATGCAGCCCTGGAGGGAGGGGAGTGTGGGCCTGGAGCAGTGGCTTTTGCGTGGTCATTTACATGGTCACCCACAGCATGGGCAGATGAAGTAGTACAGATTTGTGGCTAGAAAAGCCCGCTCTGGAGAGAACTACTTCCACCACGATCCACCTGGCTGCCTCTTCCTGAACAGTGTGTGGGGTAGGGGCACGTAGTGTGTGTGCACATGCTTACCCCAGTGTGTTTGCTTGCATAGATCCATGTGCTTGCCTCTGCATGTGTGAATGTGTGTGTTTGGTTATGCTCCTATGAGTAACTCTGGGTATATCAGTACATCTGCATGTTGGAGAGGGTGGTATGTTAGAATGCATCGTTTTGGTTGTATGTTTATGTGTGTGCCCCTGGATATGTTGGTGTTATATGTCTTGATGCAATAGTGTATGTTGTGTGCACCTAGTTAAGTGTTAGTCTGTACCGATGTGTATCTGGAGTGTCAGTGTGTGTGCATTTGAATTTGTATCATTGTTTGGCTTGGTGGATATTTCCATGCATCAGTATGTTTCATATAACTAGAGTAGCAGAGTATGTTTGCCGCCTGTATGTGCTGAATTCCTGGAAATTGGGATCAAGCTGGAGGTATTCAGTGCTTGTATGCCCGAGGGTGTTGCTGTGCATGCCATTGTATATATTTGGGCAGGTATTGTGTTTTACCATGTGTCTAGGTGCATATTATGAGAATGTTTAGAGAAAGTTAGCCAAAGCTTTAGTAGAAAAATGCCTGGGAAAGCTTCACCAGAGAATTCCTCTACACCATGACAATGCTTCTACTCATTTCTCTCATCAAACAAGGGCAATTTTTCCAGAGTTTTGATTGAAAATCATTAGGCATTTACCTTAGAGTCCTGATTTGGCTCCTGATTTATTTTTGCTTCCTAATATTAAAAAATCTTTAAAGGACACCAATTTTTCTTCCTTTTTTAAATAATGCATAAAAGACTTTCATTAACGTGGTTAAATTCCCAGGACGCTCAGTTCTTTATGGATGGACTAACTGGCTGCTATTGTTGCTTACAAAAGTGTCTTGTACTTGATGGAGCTCATGTTGAGAAATAAAGTTTATGTTTTTAGTTTTTTATCTTTTAATTCCATTTTACCACAAACTTTTTGAAGTCCCATCATATTTGTGTGAGTTTACTCCATGCTTTTTTGTGTATCTGTGAGCATCTTGGTGTTTGAGTGTATTCATGTGTGTTCCTTTGTGTCTTGGTGTGTTCCTGTGTGCATGTTAGCGAGGTACATTGCTCTGTGTCTGGGGTATTAGTCCACAAATGTCTAGGGGTATTGACATGGATCTATCCAGCTGTGGTGTATGGGGCTGGAGTCCTTGGGGCTCTTACCTGCCTTTGGGTCCTCTATGAGCTGTAGCAAGTCCCCAGGGTGCCCATTCAGTGTGAAGCAGATCTTCTCTTCTGAGTGTGGGATTTGGATCACAAAGTGGGGGTCCCCGTCCACTGCAAGGCAGAAGATACACCTCTAAAGTTAAAGGAATAAATGGAAAAGAGAGGGAAGAGACAGGAGGGGAAGGGAAGAGGTCATGTCTGTTTCCCCAGCCCCAGTCCCAGTGCACAAGCTACCCTGTACTCAAACAGGGGAGCCATGGGGTGACTGGCTTACCTGAGGAGGAGAAGGTGAAGACAGTAGGCAATGCGCCTGCAAAGGAGAGAGAGAGACTGTGTTAGGAAGGGAGTAATTTATCATATTCCTAGGAATTCTGGGACCTTCTCCCAGATAAGGGCCATACTTCTGTCAGCATTTAAGGCTTCTCTGAAATCCAGTCCCTGCCTAGCTCTCCAATCTTTACGCTCTAGCTCAATCAAACTGTAATTATGAGTGTCCTGCCTTCTCTTCCTAGTGACCCTTTACTCCTGGTTTTCCTGCCACCTGGAATGTTTTCCTTTCCCTTAACTATGAAGGATGAATTTCTAAATTATCCTTCAAGGCCAACCCAAATGCTATTTTCTCTTGCTCTCTGCCAGTGGTAGGTAGAATTCCAAGATGGCCCCAGGATCCTTTTGTGTACACACTCTATAAAATTCCCCAGAGTTGTGAATATGATGAAATATCCTCCCAGAAACAGTTTGTTTCATGTAACCCTACTGATCTTATGAAGGGGATATTATCCAGGTGGGCCTGACCTAATCATGTAAGCCCTTAAAATTTGCATCTAGAGGTCAGAGACAGAGGAGTCAGAGAAATTTAAAGTGTGAGAAGGGTTTAGTGTTAGGGGAATGCTCCATGGCTGCTTTTGAAGATGGAGAGGGACCACGTGACAAGGAATGCAGGAGACTTCTAAGTACTGAGAGTGGCCCCAGGTAACCTCTAGCAGCTGAGAGTGATCCCCCAGCCAACAGCCAGCAAGAAAACAGGGACTTCAGTTCCAGCAACACGAAGAACTAAATTCTGTCAACAACGTGAATGAGCATGGAAGAGGATGAGAGTTCAGTGTGACAGACACCTTCATTTCAGTCTTCTGAGACCCTGAGCAGAGAATTTAACTGACCTATTTCTAGACTACTGAGTTACAGAACTGTGAGATTATTAATTGGTGTTGTTTTAAGCTACTAAATTTGTGGTAAATGTTACACAACCTTAGAAAACGAATACATTACCTCCTTCTGGGCTCCCACAATGTCAATATGAGTCCTAACAGAATGGAAATGAAGACCTAGGGGATCTTTGTCAGGGGATTTCTTTGCTCACCTTTTGCTAACCCCACAGAATGTCCTTGAGATTCCATGCTGCCTCCAGCTGCTCCCAGGATCTCCTCAGAATCATCATCCCAGTTTGGACTTCCTGCCAAGCACAAAAGAAATAAGAAAATCCTTCAAATTCCCAGGGAAAAGGCTCATAATCCTTCTGACAAGGAGAGCCCTCACTGGCTTTGCAGGCTAACCTGTCCATCTCCAAGACTGGGACCTTATGCTCTCCACAGCCTTAGTCTTTCAAGCTCAGATATGTTCAAAGTTCTTCCATATACCGTTTATACATTCATTTGTACAGTCATTCATTCATTCATTCAGGCATTGCTTAGGTATCAGGTATAAGGTGGTGAAAAAGAGAGACATATTTTCTGACCTGGTGAAGCTCATAGGGGGTGACAGACATGAATAAAATAATTTGTCACAAATGGTGATAAATGCTATTAGAAAAAATTAACGGGGTGACAGGGAGTTAAACAGAGACCTGAAGTAGCCTGCTTGGGGGAGGATGGGTAAGGAAATCTGAGCTGAGATCTAAGGCATGAGCTGGAGTTTGAAGGATGATGGAAGGGATGAGGGCAGCAGGAAGGGATAGGACAAAGCCAGTCAGGTGATTATCAAGCAGAGAGAGAGAGTAGCTTGAAAAAAGTCCCTGAGTGGAGACAGGGTAGGGCATTCATTGGAGGAGCAAAGTAGAGACCAGAGGGGCTGGAGTTAAGAGAACCGGTGGGAGAAGGTGAGGTCATAGAGGAATGAGGGTAGGGAGCAGATCACACAGAGCCTGTTGGCCATGAAGAGGACTTTTAACTTCATTTTAAGTGTGATGGGAAACTACTGAGGGATTTTAAATAGGGAAGGGTCATGAAGGGATTTGTGTCTTTAAAGGATCCCTTTGGCTGCTGGGAAAGACTGGCATGTAGCAGGACAGGAGAGGACACAGGGAAACCAGTGTGGAGGCTTGAGCAGTTTTCTAGGTGAGACACAATGGTGGTCTGCTGTCGCATAGTGACAGTGGAGGTGGTGGGAAGTGGATGGATTTGGTAAATATATTAGAGGTAACATTGCCAATAATTTAGGATGGATGGGACGTTGGTGGGGTGTCTGAGGAAAGATGCACGTAGAGGATGTCATACCCAAATTTGCATCCCTGTGACTTAGGCACCCTCAACTGGTTCTAATCCTGCCCTATAAGGTCACGTAGGAAATGTCTCTACTTCTCTCAGGAAGGCAGGATACTGGAGTGCTGAATCACATTCATTCTGTGACCAGATTGTATGAGTTCAACTCTCTGACTAGCTGTGTGACATTCAGAAAGTTATTTTACCTCTCTGGGCTTCATTCTCCTCATGTGGAAAATGAAGATGTCAACAGTTTCTTGTGAGGTTTAATTGAGACACGGGTACAATATGTAGAGCAGTACTGTGCATAAGAAGAGCTTACAAATGTTAACTTATTATTTTATAGTTTTTTTGAAATTAAAGATAATTTTAATGATCTTCCCCAATCCTTCTACCCCTGCCATTAAGCAGGACTATTCACAGAGCTCAGAAAAACCTGTAAGACCTGACTTGCCATTGATACATCCCTCCCCTGCTTGGGAAACATCAGCAGTTCTCTAGTCCAACGTAACAAATGTCAAAGCTAACCCCGGCTAATTTGTTTGTGTTGAGCCTTCCCAGTCTCAACATCCCTCTTCTCCCAAGGCCTCGAATTCCGTGTATGTATGCTGAAGCCCGGAGAAGTTAAGTAACTGGTCCAAAGTCCCAAAGCAAGCAAGCAAGGAAGCAGCGACTCCAGCACTGGAGTCTGCATAAGCCTTGTAGATTCCCAGCTCCTGGTACTGTCCATTCATACCTCATCCTCATGGCTCGACCTCTTACCCGTGGCACTCACCGTTTGCATCAGGAGTGAGGAAGGTATAGAATGCTGGTGGGTTCAAGGACTCCACAAACTTGGATTCCACTGTTGACTCAGACAGCAGCACTAGCTCCTCAGGGAGAAGGAGCAGACTGATGGCCTCAGGGAGGTTGCTGGAAGGCAGCAAGATTGGCAGGTTTGGAGGGCTGCCTTCTGTTGCAGGCCTGGAGCTGTTGAGTAGGCTCATTGTTGGAACTCCTGGCATAGATGGTCCCAGAATTTGCCTGGTCTTCTGGAGACCCAGCAGCAGGTCATGCTGATGCCAGAACCTTCCAGGGGGCTGAGTGGGGGCAAAGGGCATGGGGAGGGGTTCACCAAGGACAGAGGTGATTGTGGCACTGCTGGGACCTGTGGAACTTAAGATTGTATTTGGGAATGTGCTTAGGCTCTCAGGAGGTGGGGGTCTCGGTCTGTCAGGTCTAGGAGGTAGTGGAGTTTGGGGAATGTGGGGGCTTGGGGTCTTAGGCTTGGAAAGTGGTATGCTTGTGGAAATTTGGTGTGGTGGGGCACTCAGTTTAAGAGATAATGAGATTTTAGGGGTCTTGGATAAGAGGAACCCAGGTCTGGGGTGTGGCATGTTGTTTTGGGTCTTGGGAGCAGGAGGAACCCTAGGCCTGGTGTTTGGTGGGTACTTGGGAACCTGAAGTGTAGAGATGCCAGGTCTTGACAGTGGCAGGCCTTTAGGTGACTGTGATGTGAGTGCCCCAAGTTGGGGGTGTGATGGAGCACCAGGTTTGGAATGCAGTGGAGTAACATGTTTCACAGTGCTAGCTTTGGGAGAGGCCGGGATGCCAGGTTTCAGAGTTGGGACTTGTGTCCTGGAGTTCACGGGTAATATATCAGGATTCTGGTGTGATGGAGTGCTGGGCTTCGGAGGCAACAGAGCACCAGAATTTGAGGGTACAGGAACAGTAGGTTTTGTCCTGAAAGTTGGCTGGGCCAAAGTGCCAGAATCCTGTTGTGCTGGAGTTTTGGCCTTTGGGTATGTGGGTGTCAGTAGGGTACGAGGGCTCTCTCCCAATGGCTCCAATTCTTTGGAACTGAGCATCTTCTTGGTAGAGGCTGTAGTAGTTGAGGATAAGTAGAACTTTGGTTTTACAGGCCTTGATTTGGGGGAGATAACCTTGGGCACCAAGGCTGGCTGAGCTGTGCTTACCCCTAGGCCATGCTTGCTGCTGGATGAGGGCATTATGGTGTTTGGCCCAGCTGTGGTGGAGATCTGTCTCCTGGTTTCCTCACTGGCCTCTTTGGGTTGCACCATTATCAGTGAAGTCAGAGGTGTGACAAAGCTGTATTCAAGGGACAGGTTGAGGACTTTGGCAGACAGCAGGTGGCGAGTGGTGGCATCACGAGCTTGGAAGCGTGCGTCCAGCAGCTCTCCAATGGTGACATAGGCCCAGAGGCGGCGGATGAAGTGGGCCACATTTGGGGCTGGCTCCCCTGGGCAACCGAATGCCTTCTGGCTATTGTTGGTGGCCCCTTCACTGTGACGGGCCACAAGAAGCTGATCCTTGGGGCCACGGGCTGCCAGGTGGATGCCCAGCTCCTGTTTGCCTGGCTGCACCTGGCCTGCCACCACCAGCTCTGAGCCACCAAAGTAGTTGGGGAAAACAGCCCAAGGGGAGGCCCCAACCAAGCCGCCCAGGTAGTCCAGACGCACATCTGCCAGCAGAGGCATGGAGATCTCCTCATAGAGGCCCTTCAGCTGTAGGGCCGCATCAGTGCCCTCGTATATGCGCCGGGCTATTCCCCGGTTTTCCAGGGAAAGGCGGCGCAGCAGTGTAAAGTCAGCATCATCCCCAAAGGCCAAGCTGAAAAGGGATACCCTGTGGCCTAGCGCCTGACGGACATTGGAGAGGATCATACTGGGGGTCGTCACGCCGGTTGTGGGCTCCCCATCTGTGAGGAAGATGATAAGAGGGATCCTTCCCACATTGGGGACCCTCCCAGGCTCCTGGTTGCTATGGTTCAGCACTGAAGCAGCTGCCAGCAGAGCTGAGTTGATGTCGGTCCCTAATTGGGGAATAGATTGTGAGACCATCTTCTCCGGTCACTTTTACCCCCATTGCAGACACACTGGGCACCTCACCAACCTCCCAGGCTCACAGCTCCTTATCTTTGCTCAGGCTGTATTCACTGTTTCTCCTTCCCAACTTCTTCACTCCCACCCAGACTTGCTGATATCTGACACTGGGGCCCACATGTCCTTGGTTTTTATCACTCTCTGTCTCATATTGTTCTTTGTTTCCTTGGTGGTGCAGGGTCGGGAGGGGAGATGTCTCATTCCCAAGTCAGGCTGGCAGGTTCCCAAGGGTAGCACCCCCCCACACACACCTTCTTGCTACAGGGGAAGAAAGGACAGAGTTGACAGGAGGCAGTGGGAGACTTCAGTAATTGTCAGAGATGATTGCTCAAAAGCCAGAATCAGGGCAGCAGCTTGCTCAAATGCTTGGAAATAAATATCTAGATTATTGATTTAAAGAAAGTTTAGCAAATTCTTTCAAGGGTTTGCTTTAAAGAGGAGGAAACTGAGACCAAAAAGAAATGTGCCCTAAGATACATGGAGAATCAGCTGCGCTCTTTCTTCAAGGACAGGGTGATGGGAGAACACAGAGGACAAAGGACCATATTTGTGTGAAATCTAGTCTTGATATTTCAGGCACTGTCAGAACTGAGGAGGATGGGGGAATGAAGAGAGGGTTTCAGGAATTCCCCATATTACCACAGCCTGTCCCTTTGGGTGGGTAGATCTAATACTTACAACCATCAGCTTCCATGCGATGCAGGTAGTCCTTGGCACTGTGGACATTCTGGGTGGTGGCCTGGATTGAGCCTCCAGCTTTCCAGACACTAACTGTGTCAGAAAAGGAGATGATGTTGAAGTAGTCATTGGCTCGAAGGTCACTGAGAATCACATTCATGGCCTTTTTAGTCTGTGGGATATGGATGAAATGAAGGGAATTGGACAAGAGTTAAGGTCTATGAGATTGAAAGGTTCTTTCTACACAAGGCACGAAAATCTAAACATTATATGGTTTTAAGACCCTCTGACTGCAGGACTCTGTGAATCTAGGATTCTCAGGTGAAAGTACTCTATGGGTTCCAAGGCAGAACTACACTGTTTAATATGGTAGCTAATAGGCACATGTAGCTACCTACATTTGAATATAAATTAGCTAAAATTAAAGAAAAATTTAAACATTCAATTCTTTACTTGCAGTAGCTAAATTTAAGTGTTCAATAGCCATATGCGGTCAGTGGCTACTATATTAGGTAGCACAGAATTTTAGGTCATTTCCATCATCAAGAGCTTCATATTGGGCACTAGTGCTCTAAAAGATTCAAGCTCCATGTTTTTCTTGTTTTTTTTTTTTTTTTAAGATGGGGTTTCACCATGATGGCCAGGCTGGTCTTGAACTCCTGACGTCAGGTGATCCACCCACCTCAGCCTCCCAAAGTGCTAGGATTACAGGTGTGAACCACCGCGCCCGGCCAAAGCTCCACGTTTTTAGAGCTCGAAAATTCATTTGCTATATGATCTCTGGACTCCATGACCCAGGATTCAATGATTCCAGGACTCTAAAGTTTAGGCCCTTTATGATCCTCGGTCTCTATAGCTGCTTTTCAATGACTTTGCCTGCTTTGGTTCTGCTCTAATCCGCTTTTCTGCCTCACCCTCCATTTCTTCCAGGCTAGTCACACCAGCCCCTAGAAAACTCAGATTCTAGTTCGACTCCATAAACCTTGCTCTTGTTGTGCTCTTTAGATAGCATACTCTCCCATTTCCCCTTTATTTATTCACAACTTCACTATTCTTTCAGTTGCTCCTTCTCTGGACAGCTCTTCTTTAAGTTGCCAACCCTGACTCATGCCCTTCTCACTTAGATATTCCCTGTCCCAGTCCGTTCACTGTTTTCCATGAAATATTTTTACTTTTCATCAAAATGTTGAATCCTTATAATGCTTCTTGTTCTTGTCTCCATGGCAATACTAGCATAGGGCTAGGCCCATAGGACTTCAGGGAGTAGAGTATATAGGGTCTACTATTCGGTATCATTTACAGGACACTTGCTATGTTCCAGGCACTGTGCTAAATACTTTAGATGCATCAGCTTATTTAATTATCACATCAAGACAATGAAGAAGGTACTAATATCCTCATTTTACAGGTGATGACACTGAGGTACAGAGAGATGATGACTTGCTTAAGGTCACACAGCTAGTCATTGATGGATGAGGGATTCAAATACACATGTGAGAGGTTTTAAATCAGTGATCCTAAGCACAGCATTATGCTTTCAATCCTTTATATAGGTATGGATTTCAGAGACCACGGGAAGGACACTTGAGACCCATTTTTCTCTACACCTCAAACTGATAGGAAACGTCTTGAATGCTTCTAAGTGGATTAGAGTCTTTCCTGCCATAGGGAGAACTACGCAGCTAAGTTGTACATTCTGGGACAGGGAGCTAAGCACTATACTCTTGTTTCCATTGAGAGGGAAGAGACTTAAGAGGATGACCTTTCCTGAGACAGCAGAAGAAAAGTGAGAGCCTACGAGGGCCTAGAAGTCAGAACCTCTTGTTGATCAGGAATAGATTGTTTGGAGAAGTGTGCTGTTTAATCTCCAGTTACTTTGAGATTTCGCAGCTATCTTTCTGTAAGTGACTTCTAGTTTAATTCTATTTGGTTTGAGAGCACACTTGGTATAATTTAAATTATTTTAAATTTGTTAAGGTATGTTTTAAGGCCAAGGATATGGTCTATCTTGGTAAATGTTCCATGTGAACTTGAGAAGAATGTGTAATCTGCTATTGTTGAATAAAGTATTCTAGAAATGTCAATTCGATTCAGTTGATTCATGGTGCTGTTCAGTTCAGCTATGTCCTTTACTGATTTTCTGCCTGCTGGATCTGACAATCATTGATAAAGGGATGGTGAAATATTTAATTACAATAGTGTTTTCATGTATTTTTACCTTCCAGTTTCATGAGTTTTTACTTCATATATTTTGGTATGTTGTTGGTTGTCACATGCACATTAAGGATTATTTGTCTTCTTGGAGAATTTCCCCTTTATCATTATATTGGTTTTATTGTTATATCATATAATGCAACTGTTTATTGCTGAGAATTTCCTTGCTTTGAAGTCTATTTTGTCTAAAATGAATACAGCTATCCCAGCTTTCTTTAATTTGTATTAGCATGGTATATCTTTCTCTATCCCTTTGCTTTTGATTAATCTGCATCTTTATATTTAAAGTGGGTTTCTTATAAACAACCTACAGTTGGGTCTTATTTTATTATCCACACTGAGAGTCTTTGTCTTTTAATTGGTGTATTTAAACCATTTATGATTACAGTCATTACTGACATAGTTGGATTAATATTTGCCATAGTTGTAAATGTTTTCTATTCTTTTTAAGTTCTTTATTCTTATGTCTTCTACTTAATTTCTGGCTTCTCCAGTTTTAATTGGGCATTTTACATGGTGCCATTTTATCTTATCTTTAGCATACATATTAAACTTAAAAAAATTTAGCAGTTCCCCTAGATTTGCAGTATACATTTACAACCAATCCCAATCCACTTTCAGATAATGCTATACAGCTTTATGCATAGTGCAAGTACCTTGTAACAGAGTATTCCAAACTATTCCATCTCATCCTGTACAATATTACTCTCATTAATTTCATTATTCATAAGCTACATTCACTAAATACATTATTATTACTTTGAAAAAAATATTGTCTGTTAGGTCAGTTAATAAGAAAACTAAAGTATTTTACTTTACCTTCATTTATTCCTTCTCTAACACTTTTCCTATCTTTATGTAGATCCAAGTATCTGAGTTATATCATTTTCTTTATGTAGAACTTTTAACATTTCTTGCAAAGCAACTTTATTGGTGACAATTCCCCCAATTTTTGCTTTTTTTTTTTTTGAGCAAGTCTTTATTTTTCTTTCACTTTGGAAGAATAATTTGATGTATACAGAATTCTAGGCTGGTGGGGTTTTTTCTTTCAACACTTGTAATATTTCACTCCACTTTCTTCTTGCTCCCATGGTTTCTGAAGAAAACGCTGATATAGTTCATATCCTCACTCCTCTTAGGTAAGGTACTTCTTCCTCTGGCTTTTAAAAAACTTTTTCTGCTGTCTGAATATGATATGCCTAGGCATAGATTGTTTAGTATTTATCCTGCTTTGTGTTCTCCCAAGCTTCTTGGACCTGAGGTTTGGTGTGCATAATTTATTTTGGAAAATTTGTATCTATTATTACTTAAAATATTTCTTCTGTTCATTTCTCTCTTCTCCTTCTGTTATTTCCATGATGTATATATAACACTTTTAAAATTGTTCCACAGTTCTTGGATATTCTAAGATGTAGCTTAAAATTCTTTTGTATTTTTATTTTTTAGCTTTAGGAATTTCTATGAACGTATTTTCAAGTTCATCGAATCTTTACTCAACCATGTCCAGTCTACTGATGAGTGAATCAAAGACGTTCTTCATTCCTGTTACAGTATTTCTGATAGCCAGCATTTCCCTTTTATTTTCCTAGGATTTTCATGTTTCTGCTTACATTACCATGTGTTACCCTTATGTGTGGTACACTTTACCCACTAGTGCCCATGGCATATTAATCATGGGTTTTAAAATTCTTGGTTTGACCCATTAAAAATTGGCAAAGGATATGAATAGATACTTCTGAAAAGAAGACATAAATGTAGACAACAAGCATGTGAAAAAAATGCTTAACATCACTGATCATTAGAAAAATGGAAATCAAAACCACAATGAGATATCACACCAGTCAGAATGGCTGTTACTAAAAACTAAAAAACAAACAAACAAACAAAACAAAACAGATGCTGGCAAGGTGTGGAGAAAAGAGAATGGTTATATACTGTTGGTGAGAGTGTACATTAGTTCAGCGACTACAGAAGACAGTGTGGCCATTTGCCAAATATCTAAAAACAGAAATACCATTTGACCCAGCAATCCCATTACTGGGTATATACCCAAAGGAATATACATCATTCTACCATAAAGAGACATGCACATGTATGTTCACTGCAGCACTATTCACAATAGCAAACACATGGAATCAACCTAACTGCCCATCAGTGATGGACTGGATAAAGAAAATGCAGTACATACATATCACGGAATACTATGCAGCCTTAAAAAAGAATGAAATCCTGTCCTTTGCAGCAACAGGGGTGGGAGTTGGAGGCAATCATCCTAAGTGAGTTAATACAGGAACAGAAAACCAATGCTGCATGTTCTCACTTATCAGTGGGAGCTAAACATTGAATACACATGCACACAAAGAAGTGAACAACAGACACTGGGGCCTACTTGAGGGTGGAGGGTTGGAGAAGGGTGAAGATTGAAAAATGACCTATTATGTCCTGTGCTCATTACCTGGGTGACAAAATAATCTGTACACCAAACATCTGCAACACTCAACTTACCCATGTAACAAACCTTCACAGCTATCCACTGAACCGAAAAGAAAAGTTGGAAAAAAATCTTTCAGTCAAAAATAAAATTGTTTGATAATTTCAACATCTCTGACACATTGAAGTCTGGCTGTGATGTTTGTTTTCTCTCTTCAGACAGTGTTTTTCTCTTTTTACCATGCCTTCTCATTTTAGGTTGAAAGCCAATCATGATGTATCAGGTAAAAGGAACTGAACTAAATGGCATTTAGTGTGAGGTTTTAAGTTTATCTGGCTACAAGTTAGGTAATGTTTCCTGTTTGGAGCAGTTTCAGGTGTCAGAGGCTAAAATTACTACTTTTTTTTTTTACAGGGTCTTGCTCTGTTGCTCTCTAGGAGTAGTGGTGCGATCTTGGCTCATTGCAAGCTCCACCTGCTGGGCTCAAGCCATCCTCCAAATGCAGCCTCCTGAGTAGCTGGGACTACAGGTACACACCATCACGCCTAGCTAATTTTTGTATTTTTCATAGAGACAGCCTGCCATGTTGCCCAGGCTGGCCTCAAATTCCTGTTCCGCCTACCTCAGCCTCCCAAAGTGCTAGGATTACAAGTGTGAGCCACCGTGTCTGGCCAAAATTACTTCTAATGTCGTATTTTTGTTGTTTCGGTTGTCTTTGGTTTTCCATAAGAACATTTTCTTAAATAGGGTTTGAGCTTGTAGTTCAATCAGCTGTAACTTTCCGTTATTGTAGAGAAGCATGGTTGATATGGCGATAATGTGTGGAGTGAGAGGAAGCATTCTATATTCTTATGAGCAGGTTTCAGTCTTTCAGTGAATTGGTGTCCCTGGGATACAAACTTACAAGGGTTTCTGAGATTTTACCCCTCTTGAGAGAAACAAGAAGGCTAGAAAAGGCTGGATTTGGGGAGACCCATCCCTCTACACTGGGGCTTGGGAGCTGGCTTGGGGTACTACCCATTTTTCCTGAGGTTGCTTGACTCTGGTAAAACAAACTCAGCCTTCGGTCCCAAGGGCTCTGTGACTGAAAGATTAAGGAACAAAAGCTATACATTTGCAAGACACCAGAACAAAGAGCTCCAGAGTATTACGGTATGAAATGCTGCTTGCAGAACTTTATGGATTCAGGGGATAAAGTCAAAGCCTCCTTGGTCTATGGCCTCTGATCCATGGGCGCAGTGGTAGAACTGCAACAAGATTAAAACCTATATGGCTCCCAGCTCTATGGTTTCTAATTCCATAATGTCAGTACTCTATACTATTAGACCTTTAAAGTAAAATAAAAACAATTAACAAAGACTCAAACCTTGTGGTCTGAAGAAGAATGAGAGTCTCTGTGACCTAAGGTTTTCTTGCTTCTGAATTCTAGGATCCCAGGGTGCTCTAGCTTGAGGGTCCTCTATGACCCTGGGCTTTTGTGGTTGAGGGTCTCAATGGTTTCAATCTTCATAAACCAATGTGTCAATGTTCTTAAGACTCTATGGCTCCAGGTCCACAGGCTTCCGTTAGGTAAGATACCGGGGCCCTAGGGTAGGTTCAAGCCTGTAAGACTCAATGGTCACGGGATGGTGGGACCTCTGTACCCAGGGTCCCATTGTTATCATGCTCTCTGCTTTCTGGTTCTTCTGATACTAAGACTAAGAAAGGTTTCCAGGATCCTTCTTACCTGCTTCATCTTGGTACCAAACATGGAGCCGCTTACATCAATAACAAAAACCACATTCTTCTCCATAGGTGGAAGGCCTCTAGGGGCAAAGTAGTGAACGAAATAGCCATCGTAAATCTGAACAAAAGAATTAAAACCAAGAAGGACCGTGAAAGCCAATCTAAATCAGGTCCCCTCTTCTTCTCCTGCATAATACTCTGAGGTTTGCTTCCCAGGACTTCTCACTTTTTAAACAGGCATGGGGGTGACTGCTCACTGTCCATCTCCTTCACTAGAACTGTTCAGACCTTCATCCCGGGGCCTGCCCCACAGCTATGGAGGGAATGAGACTGGCATGTAGCCCAGGACTCCAAGGATTAGGATCTCTGTAATATATGAGTTCCTGTCTGTGAGAGAGTTGGGCTTGCACAGCCTTGAGAGCCCCTAGGGATATTTTGCCTGAGCTGCAGAAACTCCAAGTATTGTTTTAACCTCCCCATATAGAGTGAGCCTGGGGCCCAGCTCTTTGCTGCCAGGGGCTGGGAGTTGCAAGGCCTCCCTCTCCTCCTAAAACCTACTTTCTGCTGTTGCTGGGCAGAACAGGGAGAGGAGGAGGAAGCCTAAGCAGAGTGTGCTGTTTATTCTGAGGGGATTGGTTACTCCAGGTACAGATGCCTTGGGCTGTCCTGGATGTGATTGGCTGCTGACTCCCCTCCCCCACTCCATTCCTCCCTCTGCAGAGACTGGGGGCTGGGACAGCTGAGGGAAGGGGATGGGGGCTAGGAAGGCCTCTCAGGACTTTTCTCTGTTCAGCTCAGGGATGTCTGTGCTGGCTGAGGGTCTGTGCTCCCTGTGCTCCTGTGAAGCTGAAACCGGCTCTGCGCAGGGTCACAGGCTTGTACTCCTCTCTGCCCTTCAGGCACACTCTGACCACAAGGCTGGACATTGCCTCTTCCCTCTCAGGGGGAAAGAGGAGATGGGAGGACATCCTGCTCTTCCCCCTCCACCCTGGCCTTTGAATTAATTCACATGTGCAATTGCAGCCTCTGTCTCCACTAATCCTGTCACTCTGGTACAGTTCCAAAAGGCCTGCGTCACTCACTCTGCAACTGCCCAAGGGCAGAACACAGTGGCCTCTGCACACTTCCCACACCTGAGCCACTGAGAGCTCCTGGGAAAATCATGCCTACCTTTCCCTGATCCCATGCCCACCGGGGCCCCCACTCCCTATCACATAACTCAGGGGCAGGACCCTGCTCACCAACCTTTCCCAGTCACCTCAGCAGTCATTCTATCCCACCCACCTGACTCAGGAAGAAAATCAAGAGCATGGGACCAGGGACACTTTGACTGCTCACCCCACCCTTGTACAGGGTCCACATTCCCACATACCTCCTCCCTCAGCCTAAGGACAAGGAGGTCCTGCCTTGAACCCCACTCACACCAAGTGCCCAGCCCCACCAGTACTCCTCAGGTTCCCTCTCTCTATCCCCCTTTAACATGTACCCCACTAGGTCTTACCTGGAATGTAGAATATTTTTGTCTTTTCCATTCGCTAAAACTACCTCTTGCCCCCAGTCCACTCCCAAACTTCTCTTTAGCCTCTTTTTTCCCTGAAGCATCACAGGCTGAGAAAGTGGGCACCCTCAGTGGGCTCAAATGCAGATCACTCCTGGGGACCACCACAGACTGGCTACCGTGCCCATCCCACTTAGACACTTCTCTCACTAAAGGCAACTGTGACTAGCTTCCTTCAAACTCAGTGGCTACGAGAGGGGAGAAGCAAGATGGTGGAATAGAAAGTTCCACCGAATGTTCCCCCAGGGAGAACACCAATTTAACAACCATCTACTCACAAAAAAGCACCTTCAAAAGAATCAAAACCTCAGTACCCAGTTTTAATGTGGTATCAGTGAAAGAGGCACTGAGGTGGTAGAAAGAACAGTCTTGAATTGTTGACACCACCCCTACCCCACCCTCCAACTCTGCCCCCAGCGGAGGAGGGCCTGCCCTAGTCCAGAGAAGAGCCTACTGCCCCGAAAGGTGAGGCTAAGGATAGGCAGCATACACCACAAGCTGACTGAAGAGCCTTTGGGCCTTAAGGGAACATTGGTGGTAGTCTGTCAGTACTCCTTGTGAGCCTGTGGTGGAAGTTTCCATGAGGTGAGGCACTTCTGCTTTTGAAAAAGGAAGGGAAGAGTGGGAAAAACTGTATTTTGTGGTTTGACTGCCAGTTTAGCAGCAGGACGATAGAACACTAGGTAGAATTCTAAGGTGTTTGACTCTAGTCTCTGGCTCCTGAATGGCACCTCTGGATCCACCTAGGGCCAGAGGGAACTCACTATCCCAAAGCAAAGGACTCAAACCTGGTTGGTTTTGATACTTTCTGATTGTATAGCCCCAAGGTCTTGATTAAGCAGAGGCAGAATCCAGGAGGTGGTTACAAGAGGCCTTGGGTGAGACCCAGTACTGCGCTAGCTTCAAGTCTGACCCAGCACAGTCATAGTGGTGGTGGCCACATAAATACCTAACTTTTCAATGCCCAGACACAGAAGAACATCTAAAAGTATCAAGATAATCCAGGAAAACATGACATTACCAAATGAACTAAATAAGTCACCAGGGACCAATTCTGAAGAAATAGAGATATGTGACCTTTCAGACAGAGAATTCAAAATAGCTGTGTTGAGGAAACTCAAAGAAATTTGAGATAACACAGAGAAGATATTCAGAATTCCATCAGATTAAAGTAACAAAGAAATTGAAATAATTTAAAGAACCAAGTAGAAATTCTGGAAAATGCAATTGACATGCTGAAGAATACACCCGAATCTTTTTATTTTTTATTTTTTTGAGACAGAGTCTCACTCTGTAGCCAGGCACCAGGCTGGAGTGCAGTGGCACAATCTCAACTCACTGCAACCTCCACCTCCTGGGTTCAAGCAATTCTCCTGCCTCAGCCTCCCGAGTAGCTGGGACTACAGGCGCACGCCACCAGGCCCTAATATTTGTATTTTTAGTAGAGACGGGGTTTCACCATGTTGGCCAGGATGGTCTCTATCTCTTGACCTCGTGATCCGCCCACCTCGGCCTCCCAAAGTGCTGGGATTACAGGCTTGAGCCACCATTCCCGGCCTTTATTTTTTTTTAAAAAACAGAGTCTCCCTCTGTCACCCAGGCTGGAGTGCAGTGGCATGATGTTGGCTCACTGCAACCTCTGCCTTCTGGGTTTAAGTGATTCTCCTGCCTCAGCCTCCCGAGTAGCTGGGATTACAGTCATGCACCACCATGCCTGGCTAACTTTTGCATTTTCAGTAGAGACAGGGTTTCATCATGTTGTTCAGGCTGGTCTCAAAGTTCTGGCCTCAAGTGATCAACCTGTCTCAGCATCCCAAAGTGCTGGGATTACAGGCATGAGCCACTGTGCCTGGCCTGTACCAGTCTTTTAAAAGCAGACTTGTTCAAGCAGATAAAACAATTAGTGAATTACAAGATAGGCTATTTGAAAGTAAACAGTCAGAGGAGACAAAAGAAAAAAGAATAAGAAGCAATGAAGCCTGCCTACAGCATGTAGAAAATAGCCACAGACAGGCAAATCTAAGAGTTAGTGGCCTTAATGAGGAAATAGAGAAAGAGATAGGGGTAGGGTAGAAAGTTTATTCAAAGGGATAATAACAGAGAACTTCCCAAACCCAGAGAAAGACATCAATATCCAGATACAAGAAGGCAATAGAACACCAAGTAGATTTTACCCAAAAAATACAACTTTGAGGCATTTAATAATCAAACTCCCAAAGGTCAAGGATAAAGAAAGAATCCTAAAAGCAGCACGAGATGAGAAACAAATAACAGACAATACATCTCCAATATTTCTGTCAGCAGACTTTTCAGGGGAAACCTTAAAGGCCAATAGAAAGTGTCATGACATTTAAAATGCTGAAAGAAAAACTACTTTTACCCTAGAATACCATATCTGGAGAAAATATCTCTCAAACATGAAGGAGAAATAAAGAGTTTCCCAGACAAAAGAGAGCTGAGGGATTTCATAAAAGCCAGACCTGTCCTACAAGAAACACTAAAGGGAGTAATTGAATCAGAAAGAAAAAAATATTACTGAGCAATAAATAATCACCTGAAGGTATAAAACTTACTGGTAATAGTAAATATGCAGAAAAATACAAAATATTATAACACTGTAACAGTGACATGTAAACCACGCTCATGCTAAGTAGAAAGACTAAATGATGACCTAATCAAAAGTACTAACTAAACAACTTTTCAAGACATAGTCAGCACAAGAAGATATAAATAGAAACAAAGAAATAAAAAGCAGAAGGACGAAGTTAAGGCATAGAGTTTTTATTAGTTTTTTTTTGTTAGTGCAAATATTGTTAAGTTGTTATCAGCTTAAAATAATGGTTTATAAGACAGTATTTACAAGCCTCATGGTAACATCAAAACAAAAAACATACAACGGATACACAGAAAATAAAAACTAAGAAACTGCATCATATCACCAAAGAAAATCACCTCGCTAAAAGGAAGACAGGAAGGAAAAAAAGAAGGATGAACAGATCACAAAAAATAGGAAAACCATTAACAAAATGGCAGGAATAAATCCTTACTTGTCAATAATAACATTGAATGTAAATGGGCTAAACTCTCCGATCAAAAGACATAGAGTTGCTGAATGGATTTAAAAAAATAAGATCCACTGATCTGCTGCCTATAAGAAAAACACTTCATCTATAAAGACACACATAGACTAAATGTAAAGGGATGGAAGATGATATTCCATGCCAATGGAAACAAAAAAGAAAAAGAAAGAGAAGATGAAGAGGAGCTATACAGAGACATTATCTAAGACAAAGAAGGGGTCTGATGATGATAAAGGGGTCTATTTGGCAAGAGGATATAACAATTGTGAAAATATATGTACCCAATACTGGAGGACCAAGATACATAAAGTAAATATTATTAGAGCCAAGGAGAGAGACGGACTCCAACACGATAATTGCTAGAGTCCTCAAGACCCCACATTCAGCACAGGACATCTTCCAGACAGAAATTAACAAGGAAATATCAGACTTAGTCTGCACTATAGATCAGAAACCTAACAGAAATTTACAGAACATTTC